GATTTCACCAGATTTTCTTGGATCTATCCCTTTTATGCTAAGAGTGATGTGTTTTCTACTTTTCTAGTGTTTAAGACTTATGTTGAAAATCCGTTTTCTACCTCTTTAAAAATCTTAAGGACTGATAATGGGACTGAATTTGTTAATACTAAAATGCATGATTACTTGACCACTCATGGTATTGTTCATCACCTCACATGCCCTTATACACCAGAAGAAAATGGTATAGTTGAGAGGAAGCATCAACACATCACTAAGACTGCTATCACCTTACTTCATCAGTCCTCTCTTCCATTTAAATATTGGTTTGAGGCTATGGCTACTGCTGTCTTTCTTATAAATAGAATGCCTAGTCTTTCTCTTGATCACAAGTCTCCTTTTCAACTTTTATTTCATACTATTCCTGATTTTCATTTTCTTAAAGTATTTGGATGCCAATGCTTTTCTTGGCTCAGGCCTTATGTGTCTCACAAACTAGAACCTAGGTCTACTCCTTGTGTGTTTTTGGGTTATCATCCTACTACCAAAGGCTACAGATGTTTTGGATCCTATTTCAGGGAAAGTGTATCTTTCTAGACATGTTCTTTTCAATGAGACCTGTTTCTCTTTTTCCCTTCAGTTGACTGATTGTTCCTCTTTATTTGTTGTTCAGTCCTTTTTCTGGTCTATTTCTGTTCTATCTCCTATTTTTAGACCTTCCTCATCTGTTCCTCTGCCTTATTCTTGTCTGTCTAGGCCTGCAGTTTAGTCTACTGCTTCTGCTCACCCTGCTATTGCTTCTGCTTAGCCTGCTGCTGCAGTTCAGCCTGCTTCCTCTATTCAGCCTACTACCTCTGCTACTGTAGCTAAGCCTGCAACTGTCATTTTCCCTGATGCTTCTCCACCTACTTCTTCTTCATTTCATCCACCTCTGTCTACTTCATCTCCTATTTCCATTTCTTCTATTCAAATTCATTCACTTATTTCTACTGTCCTTGCAGTTCCCTCTTCTTTTGCTGCCTTACCTTCTCTTAACACTTATCCTATGATCACAAGGTCTAAAGCCTGTTATCTCACTCATGCTCTTTCTTTTGATCTTTCTCTTACTGAGCCTACTAATGCTACTCAAGCTTTGCAATCTTCTCTTTGGACTGCTGCTTAAGACTGAGGAGTTTCTTGCTCTTCACAAACAAGACACTTGGAAGTTGGTCCCTTTTCCCTCTCACAAAACTGCCATTAGTTGTAAGTGGGTCTTTTGTATCAAGAAAAATTCTGATGGCACTATTGCCCGATACAAGGCTCGGTTAGTGGCTAAAGGCTATCTGCAACAAGAGGGTGTGGATTTTCAAGATACCTCCAGCCCAGTTGCCAAACAGCCCACAATTCGCATTCTCCTCTATCTTGTTCTTCAGCATCAATGGCCCCTTAAACAACTTGATATATCTAATGCTTTTTTGCATGGTAACCTTGAGGAGTAGGTTTACATGGTTCAGTCCCAAGGCTTTATTGACTCGGTTCATCCTCATCATGTTTGTAGGCTTCAGAAAGCTCTGTATGGTCTTAAACAGGCCCCTCACACTTAATATTCCACATTTTCTTCATTTTTACTTGGCCAAGGATTCAAGCTTAGTTCCTCTGACTCTTCTTTGTTTGTCAGATATACTCCTGCTCATATTACCATTTTACTCATCTATGTTCATAATATTTTGCTCACTGGTAGTGATCCTTTGGTCATTTATTCTCTCATTTTTTATGTGTACACTGCTTTCTCCATGAAAGAACTTGGAGATATATCCTATTTTCTTGGGATATCAGTTCATTCTAATTCTCAAGGATAGTTTCTCTCCCAGCAAAAGTATGCTACTGAACTACTTCAGCGAGCTGGGATGGTTGAGTGCAAGCCTTGTTCTACTCCATTGGCCCTTAAATCCTCTCACTCCTTTCCTTCAGATGACTTGCCTTACTCTAATCCTTCTTTTTATAGGAGTTTGGTAGGTGCTCTCCTGTATCTGAGCATTACAAGACCTGATTTGGCCTTAGCTGTTAACCAAGCTTGTCAGTATATGCAAGCTCCTACACTTGGCAATTTTGCAATGGTTAAACGGCTCTTGAGATATGTCAAGGGTACCCTTCATCATGGTGTCACTTTAGTCTTGGACCCTTTACTCTTCATGCCTATTCTGACTCCAATTGGGCAGGAGATTGTGTTGATAGAAGATCCACTTCTGGATTCTATGTCTTTTTAGGTCCAAATTTAATTTCCTGGTCTGCCCGGAAGCAGCCCACAGTTTCCAGATCATCTACCAAAGCTGAGTACAAATCTATGGCCAACACTACTGCTGAATTGGTTTGGTTGCAGCAACTTCTCAAAGACTTCTTTGTTCCAAGCTATTCTCCTCCGGTCCTTTGGTGTGACAACATTTCTGCAATGGCCCTGGCTTCTAATCCTGTATTCCACTCTCGCTTCAAACATATTGAAATGGATTGCCATTTTATTCGGGAACGTGTTGTTTCTAAGCAAATCGCTTTATCTTACATCCCTACTGCAGACCAACTGGTTGATATATTCACCAAACCCTTAACCTATTCTAGGTTTCATTATCTCAAAGACAAACTAATGGTTTTGCCTAATTCCATTACTTGAGGGGGGATGATAAGCTACCTAAGCCACAACAGAAGCCACGAGATCTGAAGCAACAAGAGAGAGAGAAAGAGTTGTATAGATATAAGAGAGATAGTAATGTAACTGTAAAGTAGTCAGAGGTTTGTATAAATAAGTGTAAACACAATCTAATTGATTCATTCAGTGAAAATAGTTTTCAACTTCTGATAATAACAAAAAACTAAAATATAGCTAATAAATCATCAAATTCTCCCTCCATCAGCCTTAGCAATTTTTTTTTCTAAATTAATATTTTCTTAAATTTGCTAAAGTACCTCAACAACTTTGTTGAGGCACTGTTCATTCGTTATATGATTTTTTATTATATTTTCTGTAGGAAAACTGGGCCAAAAATTGTAAATCGGTCGTCCACCTGAATGTCCCCCCGGACATCCCACCGAATGTCCCGTGAGTACTGTAGCAAAAGAAGGGAAAATGCCAAAAATTAGCCTAACCGGTCAACGACATTTTTTTTTTTTTACATTTTTTAAGAATTGTTTGGGTGAAACCTCATCAATTTAATAAAAAAAAAAGAATAACAAATACAATAAGAAATTAATATTTTAATAAGATTGAGTTAGAATAGAGAATTTGATGCAGTGAATACTAAAAAGGTAACTAGTTAAAATAAATAAAAAAAAAAGTGGATTTTAAGTTAAATTAGCTTAAAAATTTGAAAAATCTGTTGTGAATACTCTTATACAATAAACAATATTATGGATTCTAAAAAATTCTACCTACTATTTACATGGAGAAACTCACATGGAGAAACTCACACTAAACAACTCTTAGCAGGTGGCACCTGGACTCGTATCAACTCAATAATCTTATTAATGATTGTATGTATCCCCTAAACAAATGATTGAATTCAGTTTACAAAAATAAATTGTGTACAATTTTTTATAACTTTTTTAGAGAGTCTAATTAGTATGTCTGATATATAATACATAGTGCTCTTTTGGAAACCCAGTAAAAAGTCACATTTTGTGGCCTCACAAAGGAAAATGAGTGAGAGCACTAATTAGTACTGCTACTAATGATGTGACAGTGGGTCCCACCATGAATGATTTGATATTTTGGTCTTGATGTTGTATTTTTTTTCTTTTTTTATTGAGTGCCATGTCATTAGTGATTTTTTTAGAGTTCCAAAATTAGTGATCTCTATCATTGTTGTGTTTTCAAATTTGAAAGGCCAAGCTAACCAGTGGCCAACCTGCCCACCACACACTTGTCTAAATACACTTCCCCATCCACACATTTTTTTTTTTTTGAGAAATTATATTTTTACACATTTATTTATTTTAATACACATCATTTATTAGTACACGTACTTATTAATTTAATTTTTAATATTTGCTTACATGTTTTGTTCATGTTACAATAAAGGACCTTGTGTTTTCTTAAATTGCCAAATTGCCCCTTGTGTGAAGAGAGAATCCAAACCGGAACTGGCCACTTTTCTAGACCCAACATGAAAAATTATAATCAAAACTTGTATTGAAATGTGTTAATATAAAAATATTTTGTAATGTGTAAAAGTTAAAGGGTTGTTTATATGAAATTTTTTTAAACCATAGAGAAATGTCACTTTGGTTTCTAAATTATAAAAGCATATAAATGAACTCTCTAAATTATTGAGATGTAACACTTTGACTCATAAATTATTACGAAGTATCACTTTGGTCCCTAAACTATAAAAACATACAAATGAATCCCTAAACTATAAAAGTATACAAATTGGATCCCCTAATAGAAGGGTCAAAGTGAAACACGGCAATAGTTTAGGAAATCTATTTATACGATTTTATAGTTTAAGGGATAAAAATAATATTTTTTAATAATTTAAAAGATCTCTACGTAAATAACCGAAAGTTATATTAAGATTCTAATTATCTTTTCGTATAACCAATTTAACAATAGCGTTGGATTTATGTTTATATATATTGTGTAATAAATACAACATGATTAGGTATCATTTTTTTCTCAGACACGTGAATTCTACAAGTATAAGCTCCACACAGGGAGATATATCACAAGATTGTATTCATTACATAAAACATCACCTCTTGAATTACCGGTAGAGACTGCTGAAGTGGCATGAAGTGATTTGCTCACTAAAAGTTAAAGATCACAAAGGCAGTGTGTTTTGGTGCTTACCATATAGCACTGACTTCTTTGCAATCATATCAAATATGATTGGATCTTCTGTTTAATCTAACCAGTAACATATTTTCATGCTTGTACAAGGAATGCATAGAGAGGGCTAGCTTCTTTTTGTGTAACCATGATAGTGATGTGTCCAAAACTCAAAGAGCCTATTTGTTGAAAACTAATAATCTATAAGCAGAATCCAAAAATCTCCCTTCCCAGATTCAGGATAATCACTTTTTTTCTCCAGTTTATTTAAGTTGTTTTTGCTACATAAATTGTAAGCAGAAATTACAATGAATGGTCTGACAATTTCAAAAAAAAAAAAAAGTAAAATAAAACAAAAAGAAAAAAAGGAAGAAGCCATAAGCGGCTCACTTACGATACAACCAACAACACCAATGTTGTCATATCATAAGCAAAACAATGAAATGGTTTCACATATTTTCTTCATTCTGATTATTAGATGGAGGCATTCAGCTCCTCTACAACATAATTATTCAAAGTAATTCAATAGTTTCATCCTAGCTCAATGCGATATGATAAATCTTTCAAGCTGCACTTCTTGTCACACCTGACTTTCTATCAAGCTCTTCCAGAGCAGCCCACAACTTTGGATCTTCAAAATTCTTTATAAGAAATGCAGGCTTTGCTTCCATTAAAAAATGCTCCGGGTTTCCAGTCAACAGACCAACAACCGGCATCCCAGCTGCCACACCAGCTTTAATTCCAGAAACAGAATCCTAAGGAAGGGAGAAAAAAAAGAAGACCAAATTATTTGAAGGCCTTTGCAAACTAAGGGAAACAGCGGGTATGTTTGGTTTTGTGTTCATTCTTCATAAATGTTGTGTTTTTGTTTCTTTGTTTTCATTTTGCGCAGTGGAGGTCCCATAAATCATATAAAGGAGGGGTCAAACAAAGTAAAGTTTATATAGATTTTGGGAGAATAAAATGCTAATTTCTTTTATAAACACTCAAAATTGCATAGGCTAATGAGATTTTTGTGAAGTTTAAAAGGGTTGAAGTAAAATTATATAGATTTTGGAGGGGCCAAGATGCTAATTTCTGTTATAAACATACTTGAAATTGCATAGGAGTAATCAGAATTTTGAGAAATTTGCCCCTTCTGTGTCCAGCACTGGTTTTTTGTGTTTTCAAAAAAAAAAAAAAAAAAAAAAAAAAAAAAAAAAAAAAAAAACAAACAAACAAACAAACAAACAATGAGAAGTTTGGAAAACACTCATTAAAACTATTTTTGTGCGAAACAGTTTTAAAAAATTTGAAAACAACCTCCTTGTGGTGTTTTCTAAAAAGTGGGTTGTTCCCAAAAACAGTTTCTATAAAAAATGGCCAAAACAAGTTTTTTGCGTTTTTGAAACAAAGAAAGACCCAGCAAGTCTGGAAAGAAATCATACCTCAAATATGAAAGTGTGATCTTTTGACACCTTGAGTAGTTCAAGAGCCTTCAAGTATGGATCCGGGTACGGTTTTGCATGCTCACATTCGCTCCCCAAAATAACAAATTCAAAGAAATCAGAAAGTCCGAGAGTTGAAATCACCAGTTCAGCATTTTTTCTAGGAGCATTAGTAACAGCAGCCCGTCTCAAACCACGATCTTCGATCCATTTCTTCAGTTTGTATAGGCCATTCACAGCCTGCATTTTATCCTTTGCCAATCTGTTTTTTTTCCTTCATGAAATAAGTTACAATATGGGAGGATTAAAAAGTTTCTTGGGAAAAAAAAAGTGAAATTTACCTCCGAAACATGGCTTCCTTGTCATCCGTGAATTTTATGCCCCGTTGGTGATCATCAGGGAAAAGGAATGTAGCCACGTCTTCATTATGCTTCCCAGAAATAAATTCAGCATAAAATTCCTGAGTAATTGGAACCCCGCCATTGAAACCTATCTGTCAAACACTGCATTATCTGTTAATATCCCAAAGCAATTTGTCCAAACACAAATTATTCAGTATCATAGCATTTTCTTTGTTTTATGAAAGTTTCATTTTTGCAATTAGTTGGTCAAGGAATTTCTGTTTTGGTTGTTAACTTTGTTTTGACATGTTTCTTTTAAGTTTCTAGTATTCCAATTCGAGCTTAGCTCAACATTTTTGTTCAGGTATGTCAATAGAAAGATTTTGCTCCCCTAATCATGACATGGTGCGATGAAAATGTGATTGAAAAGAAAAACATCATGAAACCAGAACATATTTTTTTCCCAACATAATCAAAAAAAGAAAAAGAAAAAAACTCTACCTCTGGAAGCATTTCACGGTATGCTTGGTAGTGAAAGGGATCTGAATCACATAGAGTTCCATCAATGTCGAATAGTATTGCTTCGAGAGGAGCAAGTCTAGAGAGAGGGGATGCGCTGCTTAAACGAAATCAAGGGGATATTAGTCAACAATTCACAATTGGAAAATGCTATTCCACCAGAATTTTATACAGAATATTACACCAGAATGATGAGACAGTGCTATTTGTCTAATTAAAGTCATCTCAATAGGCTCTTTGTTCTAAAGTGATAGGCTCAAACCTCGGCCAAATCATTATGTATAAGTTTTCTGTATGCATTTTCTGTTTGTAAATCACTACTCTTCAAAATATCCAATGAAAGGAAATTTCCTGCTATTTTTGTCCAACTCATGTAAACCGCCACTTGGTCCATCAGATCAGATTTTGATCAGACAGCAAAATTAACTTGTTCACTTGGTCCATCAGATCAGATTTTGATCAGACAGAAAAATTAACTTGTTCATTGTGCTTCTTGTGCATACAAATACTCTATGTTCCAAATATTTCTTTTGACAGAGTTTAGAAGGAATCCAAAATCAAACAAACAATTCATACCTGATCAAGCTGTATAAAATCATCAAAACTTAATGTCCAAAGATTCATAATTCAATTTACATAAGTGCTTAATTACATTATCAAAACTTAAAAGAGTTGCATCTAATCACCCACTCAAATGATCAAGATCATATACCAAATCACCAACAAAGGGGTTAATTTTTTAAATAGAAAACTGTTAGAATTATGTATATAGAATAAATTGTGTATTATTGATGTATTGAATGTATTAAGTAGCTCTCCTTTATAGAGGAGTTACAAGCCGAAAGAGAAAACATTAATGATGAAAGCATCACTAACATAATGATTAAAGTAGCACTAACATAGCATTAATCATAGAATATACATGCACTAACATAGAATATATTAAGAGCTCCCTCAAACTCAAGGAGGATAAACATAAACCAACTTGAGTTTGGAGAGAGTAACAAAACAAGACAATAAAATAGGAGACACTGTATGGTCGTGTCAGACAGTTGTAGAAAACACTGCATGGTTGTGCCGGACGGTTGTAGAAGACACCGTGTGATTGTATCGAACCGTTGTAGAATTATGTATATAGAATAAATTGTGTATTATTGATGTATTGAATGTATTAAGTAGCTCTTCTTTATAGAGGAGTTACAAGCCGAAAGAGAAAACATTAATGATGAAAGAATCATTAACATAATGATTAAAGTAGCACTAACATAGCACTAATCATATTAATATATTCTATGTTAGTGCATGTATATTCTATGATTAGTGCTATGTTAGTGCTACTTTAATCATTATGTTAGGAATGCTTTCATCATTAATGTTTTCTCTTTCGGTTTGTAACTCCTCTATAAAGGAGAGCTACTTAATACATTCAATACATCAATAATGCACAATTTATTCTATATACAAAATTCTAACAAAAACAAAAGGAAAAAGAGTTCCACACCAAAAGAAATCAAATGAACAGGGCGAGCGCTGTGTATAACATAAATTTAATTATTCTAATCACAAAACAAATGAAAGATGTCAAGAATACGATGTGATTGAATTGAACACAACTATGATAAAGAAATGGGGATCTGAATTTCTGTGGACAGATGTGTGCAGAATCATATATACACACAATAAAGATAATTTCTAAAGGAATACTAATTTGACAAATGGGAATCATATAAAACACTAACCCTGATTTGAAATTCTATTAATGGTTAAGCAAAATCTTACAAAAAGCATAACAATTTCAAAAAATGGTTATGAAAGAATATCTCAACAACACATGGAAATGGGAATGAATATTGTGACAAAGGGCATAGATGGTGTACAGATGAAGAAATAAAAAATATAAACACAACCCATATAAGATCTTCCAAGAATGTTGGAGATTCATCAAATCAAAAGCAGACAAAATATGAAATTATGAATCGACAGTTAATTTTTGTTACATTTATACAGTTCTTCCTCTCATATGGGTAGGCCTATTTTGAGAATACAAATCACCTGTCTACTGAGTTTTCAACCGAAGAAACCGTCATTGTAGGATTGATACTGGCCAATTTCCAGAAAAGGGTTGTCAGTGAAAATTTGTATGCGAAATGGGTATTCAAAAGCAGACCGATTGGCTCTTCTTTGATCAAAGGAAAAGAAAAATGATTTAAAGGGTACACCTGAAAAAAAGGAGAGAGAAAGAAACCCAAAAGAATCTTTCAGCGAATCAAAGAGCTAAACCCGAAAGAATCTTCCGCGGAGATGTCTGTGACTGGAAAAATTATCACATACGCCCCCCATAATAGGTGAGCTTCACACGACTAATTCAACACCGCTAATACACAACTAATATAGCATCACGTGGATCTCGATAATTTGACCCTTTTTTTTTTCTTTTTCTTGTACTGCAGCTTATTAAGCTGACATTAGTCCCTGTGATTTTAGTGATCTGTATTACCGATAATTTTATTGATTATATAATCATTATTTATTAATTTTTTTTCTTATACATTAGATAAATAATTGAAAAAGTAAATAGCCTAATTAGAATTTTTAAAGAGCAAATTACTCGAGATTTGGTGAAAATACAGATTCTCTCATGATGTTTAAGAAATTACATCTCGCCCCCTGAGGTTTATATTTTCATAACAAATTATCCCCTGAGGTTTTTATTTTCATACAGATTCCCTCCTAATATCCTCTAATTTGTTATGAAAATTTGACCCTCAGGGGATAATTTATAATTTCTCAAACCTCAGGAGGGAATCTATATTTTTATCAAACCTCGAGGGGTATTTGTAATTTGCCTATTTTTAAAAGACAAAACAAATTTTCTTGTTTTACAACTCTAGAGTGAGCTTGTTTGTTATAGTTTTTGGGAGTAATTATAACTTATTTTGATTTGGAAGTCTGTGTCAGGCTGTTTGATAAAATTTTTGCTTATAACTTATTAGGCAAAAATAACTTAAATAAACTAAGTATTTGAAAGTTAGGATAGGGGTGTTTTTAGTTTCTACTTTTTAATTATCAATTTTTAACTTAAAAAAAATCCACCAAACAAGGCCAGTGTATGTGAGTCGATAAGCTACCCTTCATATCTCATCTCTCTATACTTCATCTCTCCATAACACTTCATATTCTTTTTATGCTATTTTTATATGTTTTAATTCAAACAATGATCCGAACAGTCTATTATAAGCCTCGCAACGAAAGTCATTCATGCAAAATATGAGCTTCAAACATAGGAATAAATTGTATTTTATTTTATAAAATAAATTATTTAAATTTAATTATATTTACAATTTTATTTTATAAAACAAAATGTGATTTATTTTTGTATTTATAATTTTCTGATGAAATTATTTATTATATGAATGACCTTTATTATAGACCTTATAAGATAAACGGTTTAGATAATAGATACGAGTTCGAATTGAAACTTATAAAATATATATATATGAAAAGGAGTTTATTCCGCTAACACACCTGAGGTTTTCCTTCTTTAATTTCGATCAACCCTTGAGCTGTGTGTGGCTCACCATTTGGAGATGGAAGACAATGGGAAAAAAGAAAAAATCAGAAAGGAAATAATCATCTTGTTTGGTTACTTACAAAAAGCTACATTGAGGAAATGCAAAATAAAACTCTTAAACAGTAATTCATATTTTTTGTTTGTTTGTCGGAAAAACTGAAGGGAAAGAAAATAAAAGGGTTAAATTCTTAGAGATTTTTGACAATTACAAAGATTTTTCTTGAAATTTTTAAGTGAAAAATGATTAAGACTCACAATTTTCTTTATATAATTTGATCAACAATGATGTGGCTTGATGAATGCCAATTTTTGATTTGTCATATAATTAATTATGTAATCTCATTTTAAAAATCCAAATTGAGAGTTTTTAACATTACTCTTTTCAAAATTACATTGCCATTCTTTACTTTTGTTAAAAATATATTTAGAATGTGTTTGGGATGATCTAAATAAATATATTTTTGAATTTTTTATAAAAAGATGTGTAAAAAAATAAAAAAATAATGTGACTTAAAAAATATATATTTTACAAGAGATGTCAAATAGTATCTTAATTAAAGTAATGGCAGTGATGAAGTGGCGTCAATGTGGTGGTGGTTGAGTCATGGTTTTGAAAATCGGATCGGACCAGTCGATTCAACCAGCTGAACCGTCAACCGGTTAGGATTCCGGTCCAAATATGTCTTCTAAACCATTCAAAGCTAAAAACCAGTTTATTTAGAGAGAACCGAGAAAGCCGGCGGTTGAACTGGCGATCCGGAGACAGTTTGCGGGTCATTGAAATTGAAAATTTTGATTTTTTTTTGATTTCTTCTAATTTTTTTTATTCTTTCTTTCTTTATTTTCTTTGTCTTTCTTATTATATATATATATATATATATATAAGGGGTCTACTCTTGTGAGGAATCCCATTAAGAGTTTAAAATTATTGTGAATGTCTCTACCTATTTATAAAAAAAAAATTCTTTTAAAAAAAACTCAAGAAATCCATGTGGGATTCAATCAAATATATTGGAGGGAGACTTGAAATTTTGATATCCCTCAAAAATTTTTATTCTTCTTTCAATCAAATTATTTGAATTAAAATCATATGCAGGGAATATTGAATATTTGATTTCCTCTTCTAAAATTAAAATTAATAATATTTTAAAATATATTATTATATTTTTCAATAAAAAAAATTAGGAGAAATATTTAAGATAATTTAATATTTTTAATTTATAATTTTATTACTTATATTTTTATTTAAATATAATTTTATATATTTATTACGTCATGGTTCGATTCTGGTTCAACCCGATGGTTGAACTGGTGACCCGCTCACTTCATCATTTTTTCGGTTTGCTTACCGATCCGATTTTTAAATCATTGGGTTGAGTATTAATGATGGACCCGATATTTATTTTATTTTAACATGTGTTCATTTAGGTGGGCCATTGGGCCCGTGGCCACCCTACGAGGCTCCCATTAACGGGCTCAGTTAATGCTTATGAGCGACATAACCGAGACTATTTAAGCGGGCTTGTAAGGGCCCACAGAAGAGGAGGCCCAGAGTCCAAGTAATTGTTGGATTGTTACCAACTTGCGAGAATACAGAAAAGGCAACTACTTATAACCAAACCAACCTCTAATCTGGGGCCATGTTTGGGGGACTGGATTAGGGATATATGCAAATAAGATTATTGTTTGATTAGAGTGTGATAAAATATATGATAAGATTTGAAGGATTATTTTTGTCTATTGGATGGTGGAGGAAAGATAATTCAGCGGGGTGACTACGTAATCACGAAATGACATACCCCTCAATGTTGGAATCACAAAGTGGAAAGTCATGAACTACTTGATAACATGCTTTGTATTTGATTTTATAATCTGTTTCTGTATTTGTAATAAAATTTATTAGAGAAATTAGAAATTTTGGCCTACGAGGGTATTGAGAATGTATTTTTCAGGATTTTGGGTCTTGTTTGATTTGATTTTCAAAATATACATTAAAAGAATTTAAGTAAAAAGTGTGTTTGGTTTGTGAATCTCTCGAAGGATTCTCATGATACACTACTTGGGTTTTTGTCACTGTTACAATGAACCACATCCATCCGTTCAGCCCTCAAAAATTTCCATTGGACTTGGTGTGTATGTCCATAACCGCATAGCTCTCAAAGCTTGCTTTCATGTATTACGATTCGCTTAAATCTATTTATAGAAAAGAATACAATCTTCGAAGAGCTAAACATGTCGAATCTCATAGTTTCCATGCTAAAAACAGAAGACTTTGTGAATAAATTGGTATTGACTATTTTTTTTTCCCTCCTCTTACATGAAAATTTAAACAACTCAGAAAAGAAAGAGAAAAAACCAACCATAATTCTGTGTGTTGGCCTAAGCCTCCGTTTGAGAAGTGAGTTGGCTTTTTGACTTTTTGGCTATTTTAGCCTGGGACTAAAAAGCCTGGTTTGGGAAAGGCTTTTTGACTTTTTGACTTTTTTTGACTTTTTTTATGAGAGAGGAGTGTAATGATTATGGGTTGGATTTGATGTTTTATTTTTTGTGGCTAAAATAGCCTATTTTGTTTTTTGTGATTATTTTAGCCCCTAACCCACCAAAATTAACTTCCCAAATTATGCCTAAATAGACTATAAAGCATAATATATGGGCACGTGGACTTAGAATTTCATTCTTAAACAAAGATTATTATTCAATTAAACAGTTCTAACCAGGTGGGTTAGTTAAAAGTTTCTGGTTATTGCTAGGAAGGAAGTGTTTGACTACATGCAATGACTCAAAAAGAAAATTATTTTCCAGATGTGGCTTCCTAATACCTTCTGAAAAGTTGGGAGCTAATTACTGGTTTTGTACCCAACAAGTAAAGTTGCATTTTAAAGGATTTTTTTGTTTTATTTTTTAGTAGTTTTCTCTCTGTTTCTCTCTTTGAGGAGCATATCATGGATAAGCAAAAAAGCTACATTTGAAAATAACACTACATTAGTTTATTCCCTCTGTGTGCTTTTTGATTTAAAAAATGGAAAATGCATTAATTGATTATCTTGTTTTCTGTGGTTAGGGTCATTATCTAATCCATTCCTAAAAGGAACTACAATCATCATCAAAAAAACCAATAAAAGAATGGATATTTGGAGAACTTGTGCAGTGTTGCTTGCAAATCATTCAACATAAGTCACTTATTTGCGGATCACAAAAAATAAGTCACTTATTTACTCGTATTAAGGATTATCATATATAAGCCGGATTAAGAATTCTAGGTTTATGGTCTTAAGTTTTGTTTGGCAAACGTTAAAAAAATCACAAAATTTTTTAGCTTCTATTTTTTAAATTTGTGTCAAATAAATTTATTTTGTATTTAGTGAACTTTTAATTTATTTTTTTAAAAATTTAGGTTCTTCTAGAGTAGTAACTAAAAGTATTTTATTTTTATTTTTATTTTTTTTATTTTTAAAATTTCAAATTCTTACCTAGATTTAGTATTTTTCCAAATTTAAGATCGCCAGTAGTATTATCACCCTGTTTGGTTTTGAGTTTTCAAAAATAATTGTCTGAATTTTCAACTCATATTTTTTTATATTTTTAATGGTTTTTAAAATATTATAATAATTATTATTTTTTTAATTTTTAGATCTACTTAATCTTAATTTACTTAAAAAGTAAAAAAAATTGTACACAATTTTTTTTAAAAAAAATTCATTGAATACGATAAAATACGAAAATGTATTGAATTTTTATATTTTTTGTATTTATATTTTTTGTATTTTGTGATTTTTAAATTTTTTTTTTCCACAAAT